AAATAAAAAAAATAAAGTAAGATGCGTGGTAGGAACCAGGGCGAATGAGCCCCCGGCCACTTGCTGAAGCTCTGCGCAGCAGTCTTCTTCACCTTTATCTATCAGGTTGGTTTTTTTTTTTTTAAGGGTTTTTTGGTCTTTTGGGGGACAGGTTTCCAACTTGCAACAATCCTCCTGCCTTGCCTCCTCTGAGTGCTGGAATTACAGACGTGCACCACCACACCTGGCTCCATCAGGTGTTTTGTTTTGTTTTTGCAGAACCGGGGATTGACCTCAGGCCCTTGCGCTTGCCAGGGAAGCGCTTACTTCACTGAGCCATCTCCCCGGCCCCTTCCATCAGGTTTTAAGCAGCCCGACCTACGCACTGCCTTTGGGGTGGACTAGTTAACACTCAGCACAGTAACACCTTGCATCCCAGCTTTACACAGGCAGACAGCAAGCAGTCCCTCCTTGTAAGAGTGTTGCAGAAGGCACAGAGGAAGCATGGCAAGTTCCCTGTCCACCAAGAGCTACTCGTGTGGCAGCCCACGCCTACACTCCCTGAACTCTGGAAGCTGAGGCAGGAGGATCCTCACAACTTGGAGACCAGCCTGGGCTATAAAGTGAGTTCAAGGCCAGCCAGGTGAGAAGACCCTGTCTCACACACACACACACACACACACACACACACACATGTCCAGGGGTGCCTTTAGGTGCTGTTCAAATAATGGCATTGCTTGGCTCCAAATGTCAATAGCGCCAGCACTGAGAAACAGGAGGTAGACTCAAAGTCAGTGATGACTGAGGTGTCACCAAAACCAAGAACATACCCAAAAAAAGCACCTTTGGCCGGGGCTGAATTAAACACAGGCGTTCCACAAGTGATCTGTCACTGAACCACACCCTAGCCCAATTCTTTTTGTTTTCTTCTTTTTTTTTCTTTGACACTCAGTCTCCCTGTGTTGCCCAGGATGGTCTGAACCCCCTGACTCAAGCAACCGCCCCCTCAGGGCCCCCAGCAGCAAGGGCTAAGACAGGGCACCAGGCACAGAAAGGAAAGCCATTACTCAAAGTGTAATGGTTACACTTTGTTAGTCAAAGTGTAGTCCAGCTGGGGATGGTGGTACACCCAGCAGGAGGATCAGTTTGTGCTTGAGGCCAGCCTGGGCTGCATAATGAGTTCAAGGCCAGTTTGAACTATATAGCAAGACCCTGTCTTGTGGTTGGGGAGATGGCTCAGTAGAGTAAGTGCTTGCCTGGCAAGTGCAAGGGCCTGAGTTCAATTCCTGGTTCTGCCAAAAAGGAAAAAAAAAAAAAAAAGAAAAAGACCGGCATAGTGGTAGACACCTGTAATCCCAGGCTGAAGCAGGAGGATTGCCATGAATTCTGGGCCAACCTGGGCCACACAGAGAATTCAAAACCAGCCTGGATTACATAGTAAGACTCCGACTCAAAAATACAAAGCGAAGGTCTGGTCAAACAGCTCAGCAGATTAAAGTACCTGCAAGCAGGCGCTGGGGCTCGGGGTTTAGATCCCAGGCCTGCCTGCTGGCCGCGCCCCAGCAGCGCACTGAGACAGCACTTGAGACTGGGCATGGCGCATGAGCCAGTAATCTCAGCTCTTGGGAGGCTGTAAACAGGAAGATCACTATGAGAGACCCTGAACCCCTGTAGATCCCTCCCTAAAATAAAAAAATAAAATAAAATAACCTCCTTTAAAGATCTTTGCCATGGGCCGGGGAGATGGCTCAGTAGGATAAGCGCTTGACTGGCAAACGCAAGGATCTGAGTTCAATCCCCGGTTCCACCAAAAAAATAAAAAAAATTAAAAAAAAAAAAAAAAAAAGATCTTTGCCAGTGGTTCCACAGTGCAAGCATCCCAGGACCTACCTTAAAAAACAAAACAATCCCCAGTTCCGCCAAAAAAAAAAAAAAAAGATAAAAAAAATACATTCTGCCTTTGCACTGAGTTGTGTATTCACCCCCTTTTTTATTTTGGAGCAGATTCTTACTAAATTACTAAATTGCCCAGGCTGAACTCAAACTTGTGTCAATCCTCTTGCCTCAGCCTCCCGGAGAGATGGGATTACAGGCATCTGGCCCTGCGCTCACGGGGGGCTACTTTCTTTAGCACCCGATGCAGACTACAAACACCCCCCACCACATACGAGAGCCAAAGCCAAGTCGCACGCCACCCTGTCCAGAGAAAACACTGTCCCTCGCGGTCAGCCTCTCGGCAGAGCCGCGCAGCGCAGAGCGAGCCGGAAGCGCAGCGCGGCAGCGGAAGCAGTGGAGCATCGTGGGAACCGTCTTAATCCCAGCCAAACGACCAGAAGCTCGAGAATGTAGTGTAAACGAAAATAATTGGATTTTGAAAATGGAAAGGGTGGGAAAGAAGCTCTGCGCCCTTCTGGCGTGAATCATATGGCGAGCGAGACTTCTCAAGAAGACTTACTGTTGCTAAATGGGCGGAGGCTGTCCGAGTCCTCCAGCGTGAGCTAGAGAAGCCGTCTCGATGGTCAAGTGAACAGAGCGGAGCCGCTCTTTCCTCACGGGAGGGCGTGCGCATGAGCAGTAGCCCTACGCCGGAAAGATGGCGGAAGAAGAGTAAGTTTGGGAGTTTGGATCTGTGGAGTGGGGGCTTAAGTATCCGATGCCATCCTTGGCGTTTACTACTTTGGTGATAGGAAAGGATAGATGCGGGTTACAGAGGGCCGCGGTGGGGCGTGAGGAAATGTAGAGAAGGGACGAACAGAGAGGGCCGCCGTCTAATTCGGGTCACCTCGAGAGTCGAGGACAGGCGACGGATAAGGAAAGTGAAGCGCGGAGGGGCGAGTGCTTACAGAGTTCTGGGAGAGTGCTAGGGTTGGGTGCACGGGACAGGGAGAGAGTTCTGCGGCACAGTTCCTGCCTGGCAAGTGCAAGGTCCTGAATTCGACTCCCTGTACAAAAACAGAATCAGTTGGGCGCACACAGCCTCCAGTATTCTGCCTGCCCCTTGTGTAGCAACACCGCGGGGTTTTACCTGATTTCACAACTGGTAGCGACAGTTAACAGCTTTTGACATGCGAACTCAAGACAACGGGTTCATACCTTTTTTTCTTTAACTGTCGCTTAATAAACCAGGCAGGCCTAGAACTCACCCACTTGTCTATGCTCGCCTGCAGCTCAAGACTAGCCCTCCTTAAATGCCCGGATTTCAGCCACCATTCCCGGCTCC